GCCCCCCCCCCCGGACCCCTGTGAGCAAGACCCTCTCCCCCTCTGATGTAAAAACGAACAATTTGGGGTGGATAAAGATTTTTAAAAAATATATTTTTTATTGTGAAGTGTGCTCAAGATATAATGTGTGGTACTAGGGTCGAAAGGGGTGGTGTAAGAAAGTTTTCGTTTTAATTTACGACAAAAAATGTGCGGAAAAAGTGGTCCAAAATAAAATTTCAAATTCATTATTATACATTTTTGGAAAACAGAGTATATTGACGACGTGACGAAAACTTAAGCATCCCCCCTCGGCCCCTGTGAGCAAGCATAGTATTTTTGAAGACCCTGCCCCCCCCTCTGATGTAATAACGAACCCCTCAGGTATGACCTACACTTTGGGGTTGATGAAAATTTTTAAAAAATATATTTTTTTATTGTGAAGTGTGCTCAAGATATAAAGTGTGGTACTAGGGTCGAAAGGGGTGGTGTAAGAAAGTCTATGATAAAGAATGTGCGGAAAAAGTGTTTCAAATTCATTATTATACTTAAATACCAATATATTTGTCTAAAACTCAATTTGTGAAACAAAATGGAGTGATGTGTGAAATTTTATTCAACATTTACAAATTAGAATTGTACTTGATTAGTATTTGAGAATTATACATTTTTTTTTTAATATTTAAAATAGAACTCACAAATGATTAAATGTTGTTTGTGAAAAATAACAAAAACAGTAGCATTTAACGATTCATTTATAATCTAGTAAATTGTTCATTATTTATAAAATATAGGTAATGTTTCAACTACTTTTAATTTGGATGGTCGCTTACTATTGTAATGCCTATGGTTTATACTTTTACAGACGAAAAAGAAATTTTATACGCTATTTATTGCAGCATTATTTTCTTACGTAAATGAGCAACTAGGCAACAAGAAAAATGCTTTAGAACAACTGAAACTTACAACAGTTACAAATAATTTTAACTAATGGGTAATATCACAATATTCACACCTAATCTAATTGATTGCTAACAATAGCAAAAAGAACAGTCTTTAGTACTGTGTACCATTCATTATACATATGTAGGCTGTTTTACATGGACCCAGGACAAACTGTGGAAAGAAAAAATACTTTTTTTTTCAGTCCATAGTTTACCTCGCTTCGTTTCTAAATATTAAGTAAGGTAACAGAATTATTAACTATACAAACAAATAAAATAGTATGAAAAACGCGCAGTAATACACTGAAGTGATAACGAATTATCTATAGGCATGTATTTAACAAAAACAACTATCACCTAAATTACAACGCCTTCATTAATAATAATAATAATAAGTCCGATATTTACACTTTACGTAAATTTGGCATCAAAAAGCCCGATTTGTTATGCACCATTTGGGACGGAAGCGTCCAAAATGATTATATATTATTTTAACCATCAACGTGTTCACTTTTTTATTTTGGTTTCTCATCGTTCAACATCCGAAGGTGTAGAAGTGCTTGCATCTCCGTTTTCTTTTTTCAAACTGAGCTCGTTTTTTGGCGAAACGCTAGACCTATATTCTTTCTTGACGGTGATCTTTAGCGGACAATGTTGTAAATGTTTTTCGGAAGCCGATGGCGACCAGGGATACTCGTAACATTGGCAATGCTGTTGTTTGTTCGATGTCAATTCGCTTGGTTCGTTGGAATTCGGTGAGAATGAGATAGTTTGGTAATTCTTGTGATGTATGGATGCCAAATGGTCGTCGCGATGATTATCCAGTTCGGTTTGAAAGAAAAATTTCATCTGACATTGCGGACACTCGTAAGGTTTAGCGTTCGAGCCGTGTTTTATCATATGGGATAGTAGACCCGAAGCTGTGGTAAAAATGGTACTGCAAATGTAACATCTGAACTGGCCCGAACCGAAAAAATTATGTTCTATGACATGGACTTGGAGTTTCAAAGATGTCGGAAAGAAACTTCGACATAGATGGCACACGTAACTAGATCCTGTGTCGAAAACGCCGTGGGATGCTAAATGTTTCATGGCCTAATGAAATTGAAAAAATACCATGGGTTTATCTATGTACTCAAGAACAATTCCTAAAAATGTTAATATTTATTTACCTTTTCCTCCGTTTGGAACACCTGATGACAATGCTAACTCCGTTTTAGCTGGCGATTTATAATTTCTTTTGATAAAAAAATTATATATTGTTCAGGCTACCGAGTTCTATTAAAAAAAATTAATTTTTATTCGTACTGTAAGTTAATTGTGCGCGCTTATGTACATCCCATAATAAATTCAAAATTCGTTTGCTAACTTTAATTATTCTTGAGGATGTGTATGTATGTAGTTTTCGCAGACTTCTACGGTGATAATGTGATATCAGCTATTACCAAGCACAAATATTTAACAGTATGATACAATAGACATTCTGAATTGGTACAGCAATTTTTAAAGGATGTGCTAACAACAGTCCAATTTATTATTGAGTCGTCTAGATACAAATGCAGTTAAATAATAATGGATTTTGAAAAGCGAAAGTGATTATACTCTTACATTTTTCATTGTATGTGTGACAAACTTTTGCCTCTACTTAATTGCTAATTATTTATTGCTAGTAAACATAATGGTTACTCTAGCGTCATGTTATCGTAAAACATTAAATTATTTATCAACGATAACGTCACGGCGTGATTGGTAATTTATCTTATGTTCGATTTTCCAAACTAATTTTCACTGTATTGCAAATTTATAATTTTTGTTATAAAGAAGAAGGTACTCTAATTAAAATACTTTTCGTAATAGTATACTACGTTCTACTATTCTAAAAATCTGCTTCAATAAAAAGTTTGAAATTGACGTAACGTTGTTGTGAATACTAAATTTAAATTCATACACGTTAGCTATTGTAAAAAAAATAAAAATAGCCTAGACCATGAAAACATAATTTATTTTGTTCTTTTGTATTACAAGTGGCTAGACAAAAATATGAAGTAAATTAATATTATACCATGTTTAAGTTTTATTTTGTTTGCAAAGTTACTTTTACTTTCGGTGTCTTCAGTGCATAATTCCTTTTTCTATTATGGCCAAACGTTTAATTTCCACTATTACTCAATTAAAATTCGACAAACGGAAATATGGCAGACCATAATATCCTGTATTATGTTACATAAGATTTTTCCTTAACACAGACGTTTTACAAGTAGTTTACAGAATTAAGATTTGTTTAAAATATATTTAATTGATTTTGGAATTTTATACTCTGTGCAAATGCACTAAATACAGCTAGTGCATGTTTTACATTTCATTTTATGGTTTTAGATTAAAAAAAAAAAGAAATAAGGTTTTTCTACATCAGAAAAAATAGCAGTGGTTATGTTTTTATCATTTATCTATCTTGTTATCACTTAGCAGATTAATTTTTAATACTATTGCTGATGCTAAAAACGCTTCATTGCATCTTGTTCCAAATATTAATTATAATATCTAGGTATGTTGAAAAATTAATGAAATAATATTACTAGAAATAATGAATTGCAAATGATACACCTTCTTATATGTAGCTTTTAGTGCCTATTTTTAACATTTAAATATGATAACTTATTTACAAAACATTTTTTAGAACTCTTCGGTCATTTAGAGGACATAAAAAACCAAAGTATGAAAAAGACAGTGATGTACAATTACGAAATCGTACATATGATGGTAAATAGTTATATACAATGTATAAGATTTCTATATTTTATAATAACTGTCCAACGTATTAACAATAAATAATAAATCATAAATCAGATGGTGCTTGTGTAATGTTTCATGTTACACTTTTATTAGTCATCTTTTTAAAATAATTATTGCTGTATTATGATATAATAATCTATTATTATGCATTGTATCTGTAACTCTTAATTTGCTAACGTAAATCACTATTTTTAAAATGATTATGTATTACAAATTAAATTGTTCTAAAAAACGTAAAACCTTTTTACCTGGTATTAGTCATAAAATACGAAGGTTTCTTAAAAAGTTTGAAAGCACATTGACCTCTTGACCTAGCCTACCTAGGCAGTAAAGCGTCCGAATGCTGCATACTTTGAACAAGTAAATAACGGAGAAAATAATGCATTTTGTTCGTCGTGTTGCACTAAAAGGTTATCAAATAAATGTACTTATATAGAAAACTTTTTAATTTCCAAATTGAATTTTGTTTTTATAATTGGATGCACTAGGTACAGATTTGTTTTCAAAACTTTTAAGACGACTTTATAAATATTTATCTACCCTTATCAAGTTCATGCTGATTTTGACGTGTTATTGATAATTTTAATGCAATCTTGATTCTGGTCATTTTTACATAACTCAAGTGTAAATTGATTTTTTTAAACACACGCTAATTGCAAAAAGCCGTTATACAGTTATTGTAAAATCACAGTATATAATTAAAGTTAAAAGATATGTAGATGTAGAATAAATTTTTTTTGTAGGATATTCAACACTTAGTCGACAAACTGTTCCGGCTTATCGACAAGCCCCCATTGTAACTTCAACCCCTTTACTTCCTAGATCTCGATTTAGCGAAAGAGTGCGAAAATCGGTCGATAATTCATACGACTCCTCAAAAAACCCATTTGAAAATGGAGATGATGAGGAGGGTGTCAATGAAATTAAACCTGAAGATTATAGAAAGAGGGTTAAAAGGAGAAAACGTCGAGCCCCCTTACCACCTGGTGTATGTTTTAAGTCATGTTTTTCACTCTTTAGTTTTGCTTCAACGTTTACTATACGCTTACACCAAAACTCAGATTGGGCTTATTTCAATTTCCGGAGTAATTATAGATTTTCTGCATGGCATCATTTGCGATTAACATATCCGTTTACCCACTTACGCCTTTTCATTTCAATTCCTGACAGTTTAAGCCCGATTAATTAGTAACGTTTCAATTTTTAGGTGAAAGATTCAAGTTGGAGTCTAACATCAGTCGAAACTGATATATCTTCTTATCCACATTCGGAAGTAAGCGATTTAGATGTTTCAGAAATAGAAAAGCCAATGACTGAGATTTGTGAGATGTTGCAAAGTTTTACCAAAGAAATTGAGAAAATGACTGACTCGTTTAATGGCAATGTCGAAAGCAATCACAAATCAGAAAATCCTGAAAGCGATGAAACTCACATTCGATCCAAAGAGGAGGGCATTTCTGATAACGAAAACATCGTTTGTCCAAAAATTGTAATCACCTCCGCCGAATGTAGTCCTACCAAAGACAATATTCTAATTATCAAATCAGTTTCCTCCACAATTCAGGATGAAGATTGTGGGATCGACCAAAAATCTCCAAAAGAAGGTTGTGAAAAATTGGGAAACGTCGAAGAGAATGTGGAAGAAAGTTCCCATAATAGAATAGAACCTGAGACATGTTGTGATCATAAGATAATTGAGGAAAAGCCACCTTTATCAAGTTCTGACCATGAAATAATTAAAGAAAAATCACCATCATCAAATCATGATGTCCAGGAGATTATTGAAGAAGAAATAGTTGAAAAAGAATCAACTCCATTACGTAACGACCAGGAGATAGCAAAAGACACCTTACCTTCACCAGAACGTGACCATGAGACAATTGAAGAAAAACCATCTTTGTCTCATTCTCATCACGAAATGATTGAAGAAAAACTGTCTTCGTCAGATTGTGACCATAAGGTAAACGAAGAAGAAAAACGATCTTCATTAGGTTGTGACCATGAGAAAATCGAAGAAAATTTATCTTCATTTAGTGGTAATCATGAGAAAATTGAAGAAAGTCTACCTTCGTTAGATTCTGTCCATGAGAAAATTGGAGAAAACCCATCTCCATTAGGGTGTGGTAATGAGAAAATTGAAGAAAAATCATCTTCATCCGGTTGTAACTATAAAACAGTAGCACAAGGAACAGAAGTAGAAGAAAGGATACACAACTTAGACAATAAAGATTATCTCAATAACAATGATTCAGCAGGACTTGGTGTGAACCATTTCAGTACATACGCCCACGACATGAAATATATCGACGAATCGTATACTATCCATGATAGAGTGATGGACGATTCGGATATTCGAGATGATAATAGTCGAAAAGTAGACGAAACGAATAATAACCAAGGGTACATTCCAAATGGGTCGTATAAAGAAAATCAATTTCCAGTACAAGAAAGCGATTTTGCAAACGGCAACGGTACCAACACCAATAAAAATGTAATCGAAGAAAAAGAAACTCAAGAGCAACCCCCCGTTCCCAAAGTCAGAAAGAAGAAATTTACAAAGGCTAAACTTCTTGGTTTTTTCAGTGGAAAATAGACGTACTACAAAGGTATTGTACCCAAACTACCGTTGTAAAAAAGGTGCCATTTTAAATTATTATTTTTGGGGTTGCTTTCGTAACATTGGGTATTATAGCGGGTACGGGAGGGGTTAGGCGAGAAGAAGGGGACAAAAAAAATCTTAAGATCCTTCCATAAATTTTTGCTATCGCTAATACATAATAAAGCCTCCCTCCGATGGGGAGTTATGGATATCTCACCTTAAACATTTTTATTTTTAAATTAAAATTAATTTGGGGGAGGGCCTTTCTTAACCCCCTTTAACACCTTTCCTCTTCCGTACGCAGAATAACAATTATGCATTGCTCTGATCCCCCCTGGGGGGGTATGTGACCCTATTTCTCCCCTTCGTTTCTCCCCCCCTTCCGTATCCGCCAGGTTGCCAAAGGTTATCAAAGCCACCCTTTTTGTTTTTGGGAAAGACTTGTTTACTTACGTTTGTTGTAAATTATTGTAATAACGCTATTTTTTGAGTAAATAAAATGTCACGTTATGTATAATGGCATTTTATAATCATTATGCATATAAATTTAAATTAATTGATTATCATAAAAGACACGTATCCTAAATAATTATTGTGATATTTTCTAGGGCCTAACTGTACTCGATTTATATATATTTGTAGTATTATGTACTGTTATCCATAATAAAATTTTTGTTGGAAGTAGGTATCATATGCTCTGTTATTTCTCAATTTATTTTTTTTTATTTCGTTGCTTTCAGAGTACATGTAAGGTAGGGGATTGTACCCATACATCGTGACCCACTTTTTACCCCCCTCAACCCTTGGTGACCACCAGTGGTATATGCCAAGACCCCCCTGCTCCTTGGTTTTCACGCAGTAATTTATAAATATGGTTTTAAATCATTTTTTGCTAACAAAATATATTGACGACGTGACGAAAACCCAAGCCCCCCCCCCCCGGACCCCTGTGAGCAAGACCCTCTCCCCCTCTGATGTAAAAACGAACAATTTGGGGTGGATAAAGATTTTTAAAAAATATATTTTTTATTGTGAAGTGTGCTCAAGATATAATGTGTGGTACTAGGGTCGAAAGGGGTGGTGTAAGAAAGTTTTCGTTTTAATTTACGACAAAAAATGTGCGGAAAAAGTGGTCCAAAATAAAATTTCAAATTCATTATTATACATTTTTGGAAAACAGAGTATATTGACGACGTGACGAAAACTTAAGCATCCCCCCTCGGCCCCTGTGAGCAAGCATAGTATTTTTGAAGACCCTGCCCCCCCCTCTGATGTAATAACGAACCCCTCAGGTATGACCTACACTTTGGGGTTGATGAAAATTTTTAAAAAATATATTTTTTTATTGTGAAGTGTGCTCAAGATATAAAGTTGATACTAGGGTCAAAAGGGGTGGTGTAAGAAAGTTTTCGTTTTCATTTACGACAAAAAATGTGCGGGAAAAGTGGTCTAAAATAAAATTTGNTAAAGTGTGGTACTAGGGTCGAAAGGGGTGGTGTAAGAAAGTCTATGATAAAGAATGTGCGGAAAAAGTGTTTCAAATTCATTATTATACTTAAATACCAATATATTTGTCTAAAACTCAATTTGTGAAACAAAATGGAGTGATGTGTGAAATTTTATTCAACATTTACAAATTAGAATTGTACTTGATTAGTATTTGAGAATTATACATTTTTTTTTTAATATTTAAAATAGAACTCACAAATGATTAAATGTTGTTTGTGAAAAATAACAAAAACAGTAGCATTTAACGATTCATTTATAATCTAGTAAATTGTTCATTATTTATAAAATATAGGTAATGTTTCAACTACTTTTAATTTGGATGGTCGCTTACTATTGTAATGCCTATGGTTTATACTTTTACAGACGAAAAAGAAATTTTATACGCTATTTATTGCAGCATTATTTTCTTACGTAAATGAGCAACTAGGCAACAAGAAAAATGCTTTAGAACAACTGAAACTTACAACAGTTACAAATAATTTTAACTAATGGGTAATATCACAATATTCACACCTAATCTAATTGATTGCTAACAATAGCAAAAAGAACAGTCTTTAGTACTGTGTACCATTCATTATACATATGTAGGCTGTTTTACATGGACCCAGGACAAACTGTGGAAAGAAAAAATACTTTTTTTTTCAGTCCATAGTTTACCTCGCTTCGTTTCTAAATATTAAGTAAGGTAACAGAATTATTAACTATACAAACAAATAAAATAGTATGAAAAACGCGCAGTAATACACTGAAGTGATAACGAATTATCTATAGGCATGTATTTAACAAAAACAACTATCACCTAAATTACAACGCCTTCATTAATAATAATAATAATAAGTCCGATATTTACACTTTACGTAAATTTGGCATCAAAAAGCCCGATTTGTTATGCACCATTTGGGACGGAAGCGTCCAAAATGATTATATATTATTTTAACCATCAACGTGTTCACTTTTTTATTTTGGTTTCTCATCGTTCAACATCCGAAGGTGTAGAAGTGCTTGCATCTCCGTTTTCTTTTTTCAAACTGAGCTCGTTTTTTGGCGAAACGCTAGACCTATATTCTTTCTTGACGGTGATCTTTAGCGGACAATGTTGTAAATGTTTTTCGGAAGCCGATGGCGACCAGGGATACTCGTAACATTGGCAATGCTGTTGTTTGTTCGATGTCAATTCGCTTGGTTCGTTGGAATTCGGTGAGAATGAGATAGTTTGGTAATTCTTGTGATGTATGGATGCCAAATGGTCGTCGCGATGATTATCCAGTTCGGTTTGAAAGAAAAATTTCATCTGACATTGCGGACACTCGTAAGGTTTAGCGTTCGAGCCGTGTTTTATCATATGGGATAGTAGACCCGAAGCTGTGGTAAAAATGGTACTGCAAATGTAACATCTGAACTGGCCCGAACCGAAAAAATTATGTTCTATGACATGGACTTGGAGTTTCAAAGATGTCGGAAAGAAACTTCGACATAGATGGCACACGTAACTAGATCCTGTGTCGAAAACGCCGTGGGATGCTAAATGTTTCATGGCCTAATGAAATTGAAAAAATACCATGGGTTTATCTATGTACTCAAGAACAATTCCTAAAAATGTTAATATTTATTTACCTTTTCCTCCGTTTGGAACACCTGATGACAATGCTGACAAGTGGTCACCTTCTCATCGGTCTCGTATTTTATAATGGGATACAGTGGACTGTTTGAAGTACTACTGGTACCATTTTTACTAAAACACTCCTTACAAACATACATAATAGTAGTATTGTCATTGTTCGCAGTGGATATTAGAGGCCCGTTAGCACTGCTAAAGGAATTTTTGCAAATGCTACAAATCAAATCTTTGTTGAGCAGATGCCTGAGATGAAAATTTGCGTGCAGTTTAATTTCAACTTCGCTTTGTAACGTTTGACAACAAATAATACAGTTGGCTGGAAGAGACATTTGGGAGTTTTGCTTGTTGAGAACGGTACTGTGTTGAAGTTGGTGATTGTAGAATGTTTGTTCGTCGGAAAGGACAGTTCTGCAATGGGTGCAGGAATTTCCCGAAACAATTTTACAGTGGGACAGTTTATGTTCCGCAAGAGTCATACCAGACTGGAATATTTCGTCGCAGATGTTGCACTTGTGTTTTCCTTTAGTCGAGTTAATTTGATGGCTCTTTGTATGATTTTCCAAATCGGTCCGAGACTTACAGAGTTCGTTACAATATGCGCAGTGAAGGCTGACAGATATCGCTTTCGATTTCGACTGATGAAGTTTTTTATGGGCTAACAGATCACCTTCGTTAATGAAATCTTTACAATCGCAAATGTCACATTTGTAACGCTCATGATTCACCTCGTATTTCGTTGAAAGGTCGGAAGATGTAACAGGATTCAAAGACGAAATGCTCGGAGAAGTGGACTGTAATTGTCGTTGGGCGTCAGGATTTATTTCGAAAATTCTCTTTCTGTACATCTGAAACATAAAAAAATAAAACTTACTTGGCTTTTATTTTGTATTAGAGAAGTGCATACTTCGCGGATGTCTTTGTGTTCTCTTATTATGTGCAGGTATTGGTGTTGCTCCGTTTGAAAACATTTATGGCAGAAGGGACATTGCAGTGTTTTCGATTTCTTTTGTTGCAATCCGCTGTTATTAGAATTATTCATGGTTGGATAGATAAGATGGTTTGTATTTCGGCATAATGTGTTTAGAAGGTTGGGAGCGTGTTGCGAAATGTGCACTTCGGCGTCAACACGATCATGGAATGTCTGATCAGGACAAAACTTACATCGGTAATGTTGACATTCATTGCTGTGCTTTTTCGTCATGTGTATCTATAACAAAAATCAAACCAATTCGTCAAAATTTAAACTCCGAACACGTTCGATAAGCCTTACCAATACTTCTGACTTTACGTCAAACGTGTCTTCGCAAATGGAGCATTTGTAAGTGGTTGATACATGTGCATCCAACATATGCCTTTGTAATTCGTCGGAATTGTAATTGAAGACCGTTTTGCAAATGCCACAACACTTGCCCAATTTCAAGGAGATAGCATGGACCAGGATGTGATTGTTCACTTCCACCTGGTCTCTGCAAGGCTCCCCGCACAAGGGGCAATAATCCAGGAATATGGTACTATTCCTGTCAGTTCCCGGTATGTGATTGTCCATATGTAACATAAAACTAGAGAAATTTGGCAACTGGGTTCCGCAGATATTACAAATGTAAATGGGCCATTCGCACTTGTCGTTATCACAACCTTCGACAGCGTCTGCTTTTTGTAGGAACCTTTTTGAATGTCCGTTTTCGTCGGACAATTCTGCCTTGCGTTTCCAAGTTAGATCCGTTGGTAATAACTGAATGGAATGATCACTAGAGGTTTGTGTTAGGGAGGGTTGAGGTGCACTGTTGTTCTGGGATACAGGAAGACAAATATTGCAATCTTTTAAAACGGCATTGGAGAGGATTTTCTGTTGTGTCGTCGCTCCGCAGTGAACTCTAGCCATGTGGTCCCTTAATTTTTCAAGGCAATAAAATTGCATTGTGCAGTTGTAACAGGGATACGAGACACGCTGGACTTGTTTAATAATTTGAGACGAAGATTTACAGGACGAATCGTCCCCTTTTGAATCGATTATAACATCGTGCGAATTATTCACGTGCTGTTGTAATTCGTCGAGCGATAAAAAATCTTTAGCACAATACATGCATAACCATTTCGTACCATCACCGTTTCCATCTTTTTGGGCGTTATCTGTTAAAGGTTCCAAATGATGTGAAGATGTATGAGCCTGCGGAATTCATTTGTTAAATGACACTGTCTTTCGACGTATTTATAAATGTCTGACAAAGTTCTTTGACTTGATCTGTGCCTGGTAGTTACGATAAATTATTGGCCAAGAAATTAATGTCCTCTATTAGTACCTTTAACTTACCTGTAACAGTTCCATTTTTTGAAAAGTTTCCGGACAGTACGAACATGCGTGACTTTCTGAACTGTTCTGATCCTTATCTTTGTCCTGTTTAATATGACTTTGTTGGTGGGATGTTAGAGCTGCTGCCGTGTTGTAGCCCCGATTGCAGAGAAAACATTTGAAAGGTTTACTATTGTCATGAGTTTTCAAATGGATCTTTAAGTGATCGCTAAAAGTTTAATGACAATAAAAAGATTTGATTTGCGTTTTTTTTTTTTGAAAAGTCGTTGAGGCATACCTTCTTGAAAACGCAGTATCACAAAAGGAGCATTTGTATTTTTTATCTCCGGTGTGAAGTTTAATATGTCTGTCCCTTGACCTTTTATGTTTGAATAATCGGGGACAATATACGCAGTTGTACTGTAAGTGATCGGAATGAGTCTAAAATGAGATCATAAACACATTTCATACTTTAAATATTTCGCTCTTATGGTACGGACCCTAATTATTAAGGAATTTCGCTAATTTCTATCAACTATTACAGTCAAATCGAATTTTGATTCAGCCATCAGTTTTTACAGACAAAATTTTCAAACATATTTGCTTTTTGGGTATTTCCTTCTTTGATGAGTAATACTTAGAACAATTTCCGAAAATATTAAACGTTAGGATAACATATGATTTAGTGACACGGCCGGCATTATAAGGGCTGGATTACTGCTTAATAGATCGTTAAACTAGCTCCTTAGAGAAAAAAAAAAACTTAAGGAGAGGAAGCTATTTCAGCAATTTCAAAATATGCATCCCTGAACATTACAGTCTCAGCGGCTGTCGAAACGTCAGGCAGTAGTTCAGCCTTTAGAAGACGACCCTCAAGTTAACACTAGTTATAAACCGCTCTGTATAGACTTGTGTTACAGGTTACAGTGTTTGTAAAAATCATGACATAATGTGGTCCTTGACCCTCGAGCAAATCTTGACAAGTTTATTGTTTTACTGGGATATTTCTTTGATGTTTCCGACGTTCTTACTTTTGTAATTCAGCACACTTGTTGTGCTAGATTTGTTAAAGATAGCGCAGATTCTACTTTCTACATTTTATTCAGTTTTTTGCGTTTAGATAATATTTTACCTGTTCATGGCGGGTAAGTTGTGAAGTTTTTGCGAACGCTTTGTTGCATATTTTACACGCGTGCGGGGTGCTTTCTGTAACACCCACTGTAAAAACTTCCGCGTCTGTAACATCGCTTACAATTGAACTGGGCGTGGGACACGAGCTGGACGTAGGGGATGCCTGCTCTGGTGTATTCGAATCCCAGCTGGCTTGATTTGTTCCAACTGAACCTGCGGAAATAAATACACCTCTTTAATAAAACAGTAACACATTCCACCCTCTTTAAAGACGATCAAACTTCGCTAACTCGAACCTACTAAATGTAAACAAAGTTATGTTTCAGTTAAAGAAAATTCTGCTTAATTTTCGTTTCGGAAAAATTGCTTCTGTAACCTCATGATATTAATAACCTAAGCCTTTTTCCATAAAATTATAGTGGAAATAGGTGCCGCAATGAAAATTCCAGTCACTAATTATCGTTGCGGCTGAGTTTTCCGAATAAAATTAATAGAAACTCGAATTAAAGAAACAATTTAAAATCGGAAAGTTGCACTCGAATTTCGAGTTAGAGAAATGGGAAATTTGAGTAATATAAAACAATATGTATGTTGAAAAAACAAAAACAGTTCGAGTTACAGAACTTTCGCTGACTCGATATTTTGTAATAAACTTTAAATTCCACCTTGTCTCAAATATTAATACAATTATTTTTCTGGAACTGAATTAAATCGACGTTCTAAAACTGTTCTTAATTAATCATAAACCATTTCATAAAATGATAGTAATGGTAAATATGTACGAATTTAAACACCTAACAGATGACGAGTAGGTAATTTTATCGATTTCTATGTGTCTTATCAATAGGATGACGAATTGTTGTGAATATTTTAAGATACTGGTTAGCAATCCATCTCAATTTTGAACGTCATATATATCATATGTATTAATAAGTCTTCGCTCCATTATCTTTAGGAAATGGAAAAGCCTTTGCCTCATACGAGTTACATAAATTTTAGTTTTTGTTGTTTGTTCTAATGTAAAATACTACTGCTGGCTGGTAATCTTTCTGAAATATAACGCATACCTGTAAGAAACCTTAGCGATTCCTTTTTTGTATTTAACAATACCAAATTTATTAAATTAGTAAGTATGAGTATAAGTATACCTAAAACAAGATGAAAAAAGAATGGTTTTACTGGTATTTAATGATTTAAAAATTTTGTAAACTAGTTAATTATGCCTCTTTGAAGATGACGAAGTGTGGAAATGTGGAGGAGTGCGTAAAATTGCTAGCAATTTAGTTAGATGTTATAAAATTGAGGAAACATCAGAACTAGACTAAAACAATTTCACTTGTTCTTTCTAAGAATGGTTTTTATAAACCAATATCTAAAATAAAAGCCACCTCGCATTGTACCTTTTTTGAAAATATGTTATGGAAAAGTAAGAATCAACATTCTTGTTGAATACATTTCTTTTAATTGTTGGTAAATGTGAAATTGATTATTGTTACCTTCTAAGGCCTCTCCCTTTTTTGATTGTATCTTTTCTATGAGTAATTCCAGCTTTGAACTATTTCCTTTGAAAAGCATCTTTATGTTGCACTTCACAAAACTTTTTGCTTTAAAGTTGTCACATTAAACAGTTGAAGAAAATGATAATGTTGAAGTAAAGACGGGCTGTCTTTAAAATGAAGGCATTAGGAGAACAAAAATCCCCACCTAGGCGAATCCTACCACAACCATGCTTTATTGTTTGATCTGATAATTGATCCGCTGTATGGTACCTAACTTACCTGACAATAATATATACCGAGAATAATAAAAACATATGTACCAAATATTTTATATACATACATTTTGTTTACTGCACATAAGTGGTATTAAACTAACATTTTTTTAAAGGATGATGGCAATGTGGTATCCAGGAAGAGATTTACAGATGTACTTCGTTGGTTGGTAAGTTATTATAATTTTTCTGCATATTCTGGTCTCATCAGCACGTCTTGGGAAGTATCGGTAAATCAGCTGGCGTACCTACCAAAGATGCTCTTGCATTTTATATGTATAATATGTTCAAATTTAAATTTTAATGATTAAGTTTAATTAAGTATTTTAAGACGTACGTACATGGTAAGAAACAGAAATAATTTCGTAGCAGAGTAAAACAATAAAAGTTAAAAAGTTTAATTAATAATGGCGTTCGTGAAGTTAAACGTTTGAGATAACTGAGGACAAATGTTATTCGATATTTTACAAAAGGTAGAGGAAAAATGCCCTCGAGGCTAAGAGGTTTAAAGATCTATAAAACGTCACCTAAATTCTCTTTATAATTACTTGGTACGATAGTGTCAATTTTATTCAAAGAAGTTGGAAGATTTAGAAACTATCGTTAACTTAAACAAAGTTTCGAAGTGAAATTGCTAGCAGAAAAGGAAATAATATTTGTGTCAACAGAAAGACATTTTTGAAAGATGAAATTCAGTTTGATGTGGAAAGTGCCCTTATAATTTATATATAATTGTTGATTTTTGATGTGATACGTTTCATAGGAGGTAGAAAGTTCGACATTAGCAATGCATCACAAATTCCCTAGGGATATTGAAGACTACCATCTTTTATAATTTGTTTGATCACAAGGTAGTACCAAAGATAGGAAACGAAGATTGCAGAACAGAGCAATGTAAGTGGTAACAGACGCTATGCCAGCAGAGGGCGTCAGGAGCAGTATTCCTTCGGGAATCCCCAAGCAATCTCTGTCGTTTTCTCCCTAAGCGCCAAGACTCAATTAAACTTTAAGATGATTTGCAAGCACCCTTACTACAACGCTATTCCTCCAATTTCCAATTTCTAAAATTCATTTCTGTTGTCCACTATATACATATACGCATCATATAGACAATCTGTCATCATACGCGGACATATTTATCCAATTTTCCGTTATACATAAGGTACTTCGATAAAAACAATTTTTATTTCGTAAAATGTTTTTAAATGAATGAATACAAATGCTAGAATATTATTTTGCCTGTAAACAATTATTGCCGTTATCAAAGTGTATCAGTACCTCCAACTAAAGTTTGAACCGGTACTGACCTTTAATAATACTAAATAATATCTAATTCTATCTGATATAACAATAGGGAGACCCCCCACACAAAGAATTGATATTTATATATCTTTCTTTAAATTTTTGGTGTTCCTCGAAACGTTTCTTTAAGGAATGACCTATTTGACCTGTATATTGTATAAAAAGTTAATTTAAATTCCATTTATGTTAACAAAAATAATTTAAAATCACCACTGGCTAACAGACAGTTATTATATTTGCTAGGAGATTATAAATTAATTTACAAAGAATGTAATTCATTTTATATAGGTCAAACAGGTCGTTCTTTCAAAAACTGTTCACAGTAACATCGCAAATTTACAAAAAAGGTAGGAAATAGAACCTATACACTACTAAAGTAATATTTTAGCAACAAAGTTGTGCTAGGCTAGTTATTATCATGGCTATACTTTTCGATAGTGGTGTTACAACCGAAGTAATTGCAAAAGACAAAAATACAAAACATTATGAAACTCGTCAAGTGTTTTCATAAATAGACAATCTCATATTTGTCCAATTAATAAAAAAAACCTTTATTTGAGAAAGCAAATAAAAGAAAAACAAATACCCTCAAGGGAATCAATGGATTTTTAAAAGAAAGAGTAAAGATGATGAGTTAATGATTGTAATGCCGGATACTGGTCGTAGGGTTAAAGTACAGGAACTCGGTAATTAAAGAAATAGGTCTTTTCATAATACCTACGAACGAAATGTAATCTGATATGTCGCTTTCTTTTCACGAATGCGAATGGAATTCATTTTTATTATAGGTTCAGTTAAAAGCTCCATAAACAGAACTCCTCCAGTCTTTTCATAAGCAGCATGGGATGAAATTACATTTTGTCTTTTTTTTTTATTTAAACATTCAGGGGTCGTTTTTGAAGAGCAAAGAGATACTTGTTTGTAAATGCGATAAGATAGCTGAAATACATTGACATTTACGTTGAACACCGAAGAATTTAATAGCTATGGATAATTATTGAAATTGTTAGTTAAAACCTATATATATATTTCAAAAATGGTTTCAGTACGTAGTGTAGGTGGCAGCACACATGATAATAATAAGATAAAAAAATTAATCGTATGATTACAAGTAATCNTCTTAGAGTTTTGTAAAGCTCAAAGACTCAACTTTGAGAATATGAAACGGTTTTTTGGTAAAAATTGCGTAAATTATGTGTAAATTCAATTTAAAACAAAAAAGAATTTTTCCTATGTTAATTAAATGGGAAACTAAAATAAAAATAGCGACCCCCTAGATTTGAGCTATAGGGCTCATGTTTGTTGAGGACTTTTTTTACATTAAATAGCAAAATTTGACGGGGTAAGAGTTAGAAAAAAAAAATTTTGTTTGAAGCACCCTAATATATATATATATAGATATGCTAGTGATAAGCAAAGCAACTGTTCCAGTTTTCGCCTTGCTTATTCGGTTTTGTTCTTGGTCTTACTCAAATACTTCTAGTCTTGCATGTTATGTCTTGGTTTTTCTCATTTAATCTGTTTTAGGAATTCTTTTAGGCACAAATTTTACTATTTATCTACACAGTAATTGTCTCAAATGTTGTTATTTGTCATACATGCGAGCTTGGCATGACTTAAAGAAAATAATGTCAGTATTTATATATTGGATGATTATTACCTTAATTAATAGTAATACCGAAATTCAAACAGAACAGAAATAAGTAAACTAACCAAAATTTACTGGCCGCAGCTCAATTTTACTTTTTAAATAAGCTTGGATTAAAAACCATTTGCATTAAGTACTTTAAAAAGGTACTTTTATTTTGTTAGGCAGCACATTCTCTGTTAATGGCTTTGATGGGAATAAATTTTAAGCTTTTAGAAGAGCTTTTGCCTTTTCGTAATCCATAGTATAAATTAACACACAAAATCTGAAAATATTTATTAGGTACGGTTCATAATAATACTCCTAGATAGACATGTTTGATTAATGTCATTTTTAAAGAATAGTCGATTAATCAAACAATCAATAAATAAAGTAATTCGAAGTCGTCTGTATTCTGTCGAAACTGCCAGACGCGGATCGCGATTTCGATCTTTTTGGATCTCATCAGCGCGTCGCAGGCAGCTCCGACAGAACACAGACCAACTTTTACCTGCTGTCTTAACAGTGCGTTTCAAAAAATACGTAATCCTAAAATGTAGCATCGTGCTACAGATGGCGTTCACTGTGCCGTTTGTAGTATTTTAATCAATAAATAAATTCAAAAAGTTAGAAATCGACTATTACTCCATTAAAATTAAACTTCGCCCAGACAATGTTATGACGATTATTCCAATTGGTCATATGGTCCATCATTTCTGTTAGGTAATCTATTACTGGGATAATTGTAATTTTATATGGACCAATTATTCCGGTTGAACAAAATAGTCGATTATTTTCTTGCAATGGATAATCGATCGTTAAATCTAATAACCGTCCAGCCCTAAAGGACAGTCTAAGTCAAGAATATAAACGAAATCTATCAATAACCGTACAGTATGTGTGAATGAATTCGATGATAAGTAACGGGAATGTGAATCAAAGTTTGAGTTTGCGATGTACGGATAGATAAAGCCACTGTCCGAGATTCGAAGATGCAATCGTCTGAGATAAAGAGGAACGTAAGTTCTTGGAGAACAAGAAGTAGAGTTATGGTTTGAGTATACGGTAGTGGTACGATGTCAGATGGCGTCGATGGCAACGGACAATTGCAGAACGCCCAAGCGGAGCAATAGGTGCCCAGGGACCCGTAACAAGGCACCAGTAATGCATTGAATTAGACAATAATATAACAGCGGCCCAATTGCTCCCAATGGCAGCGTGAGCGTCGATCTGGGTCTGTCGACCTCTCCGTATTCATAAAGACTAAATTATAAGTTTTTAAGCTCGTTTGTAATTGAGTTGAGCCGTTTTGTTGGCTTCCAGCCCCGCCATGTCTTTGTATTGCCGCCAACCAAAATAATTTTCATCCTATATTGTTTCGTATTTCCCGACGAGAAAGTTATATCACATACCTCCACGAATTTAGCGGCAGTGTGAAGTTAAAAAATTAAAACTGGTCAGTTCCGGAGGCAAAACTGATGGTATTTATTTTGTAATCGAGTAGGCCATTAAGCGGTACCTATCAATGATACGGTAACGCAGCAATGATTACGTGAAAGTATAATTTCCACCTAGGGAATTTTTATAAAAATTCTCGTGAAATGTTTATAACACACGGGTGTGTTACAAAGCGAATTCGCGGCAAGTTTTAATTCCCAATTCCATTCTCATCTCCAGCCGGTGCTGTAAGTTTTTTCAGAATATGTCGTGTTTTTGATTGTTCGGGTCGGGCGATGTGCCCCATTGCGACTATAAGCCACCCGAATAGCTCTCTGAACGCCTATAATGCCGCGACTAATGTTTCCTACCTTTAGCATTAACCCGAAGGAGAAGATATTTGTAATTAGACTACTTCTTACAAATCCCTCCTTCTCCACTACTCTACTTTTACTTTTTGCTTTGGATTTTCTTAATTTAGCTTTACGTCTTAGTTTTCATCTTCGACCAATATTGCAACACATATCCTAAACACACCTTATAGTAAGGTAAAAGGTGGAATTTGAATCGGAAAATAAAGTTCCTGTATTAAGCAACATTTAAAATTTCATTCATTCGTTTTTAAGAAAAACCTTCCATACAGGATCATTTTTTTGTTGTCTCGCTGACTATCAAAATCAAAATCTTACTTCCTGTTGACTCAGGACCTGCGACCTCGAAATTTCTTTCGAAGAAAGGTGTCATACTGTAAAAAAGATCCTAAAATTTATGTGAGAATTTCAACATGGTTAAAATTTTCTTTTACGATGATGTGCCAATAAATTCTATACTCATCAATCGTTAAAATTTAAAAAAGAAAATTTAATCTTATGATGTCTTATAATAAATTTTCACGGAAAACGTAACAGCATTTTTCGATAATTTTAAAAAATTAACTTTTTTATAAATAAGTTGTGAAAATTGAATATGGACACACTCGATTAGTGCATTGTTTTTGATATTTTGATAAACTGAAATTACGAAACCAAGTAGGTACATTAATTATGCAGCAAAAAGTTGTAGTTTCGTTTACTAATTTTTTATTTGATATGTTCTTACCGCCTTTTTTGTATCTACTGCTGTTATTTTCATTTCTAGATTGATGCGATTTAAAATGAACGTACGAACCCGTAGAGGACATTAAAACGGCAGAACTGGCGACATATTAAGTGTAAAATGTTGTTATTGTCCACTCAGGGTCATTCATTGTCCCTTTCCAAATTAGGGACTTCACGAGCAGATGAAAGTGCAGAAAACATGCATTAAAACGTTACCATTTGACAGCGGAAACGGGGACTTGTAACGAAAATTTTATTAACCAACGAACATAACAAATTGACATGACGTTACTATGGAAACACTTATGCTACATGCAGCTACAACCAAAAAACGTTTTTATTTACTTCTACTATCTTGCATATGTGTTAAACTTTTTGGAAATACTTACCTAGACTGTCTTCATGATCTTCCTGGTCAAACTGCTCTATCTTGATGTAATTTTCGTCATTATTGTCAGTTGAAGATCCAAAGTTGTTGACATTCTTTTGAAAATTGTCATCAGTTTCCTCTTCTTTTATTTGCGAGTTTGAAGTGTTACAATTTTTTTTGTTCGTATGGCCGGTAGTAGAAATTTCCGTTTCTTCTGTAACAAAGTAAAAAAATATGACTATCTCATGGTTTTTGTGTATGTAATGCAGCGAATAAAAAAAGTTGACCTCCTGCAGAAGTTGTTTGTTAAATAAAACTGAGATGGTGGTATTTCCTGTGAGGGGCAACATGGAACTTATTATTTTATGAAAAGGAAGAACTAAGAATAATAAGTTATGACGTAGAAATTCCCAAGAGAAAAGTGAAGCGCGATCATGAATTCTCTAGGGCGCAGTATGCACAAGGCGGCAGAAAATTAATGCATTCCCTTGGGAAATTGAACCTCACTGCTTCGTGTTGCTTCGCCCTTTCGAAGCGCCATTTCTCTACTTTACTGCTTGATCAATTTTGCAATTTTCTTCTCATCTCAGACACTATTTAAGATGCTTTGTCTTAACTTCTGAAATTTTCATCTATAAATCTTAAATTATTTTGTATTTTTCTACAATAAACTCTTTTACTACATGCCAAAAATTCATATACCGCTTCATATTGTATGCTTACAATTTCATTGCATCTATTTAAAAACTACATTTCAACAAGGGCGTTTTCGATGCCAGATTAATAAAATTTTAATATCAATTTAAAAACAAAATCGGTCAAGTGTAGTGTAGGTATCTGTCTGTAAATAGTTCGTCCATCAAGGGAATCGACTCTCGAAGATTTAAGTTTTTTTCAAGAATTAGTCCCCAAAACATATAATTACAATATTAAATATATTTTTGGGAAGTACTCTATAAGTTTTGATTTTTTTCACAATTCGAAGGGATTGCAGATATGAGTATTTGGTATTAATTTGAACCTGATCACGCGTTCTTGAGAATAACGGCCTTCACAGGCAGGCAAACAAACAGACGGACAACAAAATGACCCTACAAGGTTCCTTTTCCTTTTGATGTATGGAACCCTAAAACAGATACAAATGCTAACAAACGCGGAGTGCAAACCTAAAAAATCTTCCTCTTAGTTGTATATTTTCGGAAAATAGGTATTGCAAGTCTGTAATCAAACAGTACCATGCTGGGTACCTTAGATACTAAAACTTTTTGGAAATTACAGTCTACAATACATTTATGAAATTATGATCTGCTAAAATACGATTCGAAAATTAACACTAGACGTTGTAATCTCTAAACATTTGAAGGCCGAAGAAAAAATTTCAGATTGTGTACTGCTTCTCCTGCAATCAGTTTTATTTCTTTTGTGTTTAATTACTTGTACTTATTAATATGCACATAAGTAACAAACATGCCACATTCAAAGAATACCGATAAAATGGGGGACATAAACGTTGTAGTCCTGCGGGAACTAATTTAGCACTGCGGTTTGTCACGCGGAGTTCTGTGCACGCCCGGTCTCCTGGGGGTTTATAGTCCGTTCCCCATAAAATGCACTATGTTTCTTTTTTTGTTACGAATTAACATAATTTTAAAATTTCGTATCTTTTCGTATATTATATTAATTTTATTGAATGTGTATTAGTTTATTACGTTATTTGAAATTACATTTTCAGTATTTGTCATGCGTGCTGCCTGCATATTTTACTCTAGGTTTGTGTCGTTATATCTTTTTACTTATAAGTTTTGGAGAGAAGTATTTCTAATAACAATTGTAAATAAACTATAGAAGTATAAGGTAGGATACATGAAAATGCTTGAGAAATTTCCATTTCTACTTTTTTTTGTCAGAACGGTAAGCATTCAAATGCTTCGTGTACAGCACAGGTGTTTGCCAAGTTGCATAACTACAAGGCGTAATTAATATCGCAAACTATTAGAAAATATACAATTATAAACTTTCGGTTGTATTTTTGTTTTGAAATTTATAGGATGCTGCATGCCGAATATGTTGTTGCGTGTTTTTAGATTCGTTTGGTTGGAATTTTTTTGGTACTAGGCATATATTGTGTAAGTTTAAAATGGAGCTTTTATTGTACGTATAGGTCGTAAAGCTTTAATTTTTAGCTAAATAAAACCGGTTAAAAGTTTTCCCGCAACTAGCGGTTAGTTAAAATTAAATAATACAACTGTCAAATTTGTAATTACTCTGGAGCAGTTTTAGCAGAGAAATGGTATTACTCTGTAAGTCAATGTGATTAGTGGGACATTCCCGAGGGAATATAGTTCACTCCCCACCGAACGCGCACGACAGACATTTCTCTGGGGGATTCTCCAGGCCCTTTGGGTCTGACCTCGCCAGTATCTCGTCCAACTACCTATTTTCATCTGTAAAATCAATTCGTCTTAAAAACAAGGCAGTTTTCATTCTCGAATTGTGACCTGCCAACCAATACCTGCCACATATTTTAATAATTACGTTAATGTATTTTAAACCTACCCTTGTCAATTACTCAGATAATACATGTATATCTTTGTGCAACAGGGATGTGGTAAGTAAAATTTACAACTGCAAAAAAGTAGTAGTAAAAAGAAAAGCCCTTCGGGTCTTGTGTTGGCATTAAATGGTAGAGATTTATCCCCTTTCAAAATATAATATTCTGATAGCTGACCATTAACACGTTTCTTATGCCTATTGTCGAAATCTACGATGACATATTACAATTTTTAATAAAACTGTACCAATTTTGATATATTTAAGGTGGAACTAAATAATTGCAAAAAATTTAAGTGGGTTTAAGCGACTATACTCGGATGTAGAGGTGGTTGCGTTAAATTTTTAATGTTTGGTGTTCAAAGTGTAGATCATAAAATTATTAAAAATGTAACAAATGTGGACGGTTGCGTATGTCTTATAATAAGTTAGTAGAAATTGTTGTGATTGAAAAGGGTACAAAAGCATCCCCGTTAAGTCTTTTTATTGCAATTGGTTTCAGTATTATGTGTATACCAATGTATATGGATCAAGTTGAACCGTGGTCCGAACAAAATCTCGATTTACTGCTTATCGTGTGTCATTTTATAATCCGAAAATTTACTAGGTATATTCTAAGCTTTTAAACCTATGTATATGCTTTTGTGTATTCCCAATGCGATCATAAAACTCTACTAGATTCGTTAGAAAATCTATTAAGTGCAAGTTTATGACAGTTGAATAGGTACACGTGTGTGCAGGACCGGGCTTTCCAATGAATAATAGCGAAACGATTAAATTCGTTTTTTTTGGAAACGACATTTTTTTAGCTGATTTATCGACAGAAAAAGATCCCTGTCAATGAAAAAGTGCGAAGAAAGATAAAGATCGTGGTTGTTAGAGTATGAACGTTTGTTTTGTCAATACGTCCTCTTATTTAGAGAAATGTGTGGTGTTGAAAGCAAGTTTAATAAGTATAGGAAATTCGAACGTAGTTAGACGAGTTGCCGAGGTGAAGAATTCCTCGGGGAATACGCTATGGGAGTGCGTATTTCCCCGTCTGCGCGTTCCCTGTTTCCCTTGATCCTCCTGGGGTCCAAAGCTGCCGCTGTTCGCCACTAACAGCGTCGACGTGGTAGAAACAAAACCCAAAATATGGAAACTGTCACACGACAACGTTACCTACTATTCTACGTTACTCGATCCAAAAACATTTGGCACACAGCATTCCAAAAATATCCGCCTAACCCCTAACCGGAATTAAACTCCGTTAAAATTTAAATTCCCAAATAATACGGGACCTTTTTAATTATTCAATTCACTAATCAATATGCAAGTCTGTAGGTCGGTACATTTTTCATTTTGGCGAAAAACGAAGGCGGTTTGTTCATTTGAGCTGTACAACTGCAGAACACTTCAAACATTTTCAATTGGTACGAAATGCTCGTATTGCAAATTACTTATACAGTAAATGAATTCCGCGCCGATACCAATGGTTACTTTAGAATCACTAGTTTCGATTAATCATTCGCAAGTTATATAACTATGTAAACAAAAAGTGTTCGCAGCGACTGATTTCAGCATCCATTTGTTCCTATTTTGACTAATGATACCGATACCAATTGTTACATTAGAATTACTGTAGTTCTGATTGACCATGATAAAATTTAGAAGTTTTAGAACCCTATAACAAAACGTGTTCTCACTTATGATCTTAGCGACCATTTGTTCCTATTTTGGCTAATTTATAGAACGTTCGTATAATGAGGGTTACAATATTTGCAGCGTGCTGCGATTTTATATTTTAGCTACCGATTAATTCGTGTATCAGTGCTAGAAAGTTAATGGAATTTTCTTTTCCTACGATTAATTAATTCAATAAATATTGCAAATTAAATTGATTTCTCACAAATAACTTGTTTTAAGTAGATTGGGGTAGGTATTAGGTATCTAGAGGGGTTATGGCAAGGTTTGATATGATGCATAAGTATTAAGCTAAATTTTTGTAACAAGCCTGGTATATATAGCTGTTATTTTCTGACTTATTTAATATGCAGTTTGTCATCTTTTTTTAATCCAGCAAGTTCTAATACGTCACCTAAAACTATACTTGCACATATTATAAATACAAAAATATCACCGGTAAATATGAATACAATAATTGTAATTGTTTTCATTAATTTTATAACGTTTAGTATTGTAACTGGCATTTAGTTGTAGTGATTTTAAAATATAGTTAATGCTTATGTTACACAGGGTGTTAGATATTTTATGTGGGCTACGTTACCAATACCACGAAGAGAAATTTGCTTCTGTTCCTTCGTATTTTAATTAGTAAAACAGTTATAGCTAACCACATTTGTTTATAACGTTTCCTATACTCTATTAAAAAAGTTTTCGTCTTACCTAGTTTTGCAGGATTAGGTTGTTTTCTCCTTGACATATTTTTCGAAATTGTAGTTAGTTTTCCGTTAACACACTAAATCTAATCATTGCAAGCACTACCTTGGTGGTTGTAATATATTTGGGATTGTTCTTATCTATTTATTCTTCACTGAAACATGTCGTGTGGCGTGTGCGAATTTTCGAAAATTTTTGCCGCCGATTTCGGAGATGAACAAACAAACCGGCTCCACCAGATCGGTGAGTGAATGTGCACACACGGATTCACCACCAAGTCTGTTCGTAACAACCACCAGGCGCGCGCAGGTGCATCCCTTGAGGACGATATTTGTGATGTCTCCATTTTACTATCTCCACGTCGGCTAATATTCTAATTACTCCAACTTATTCCCATATCGTTATTATATTTCTAATCGAACCCAAATGATTGCTTCAATTGTTTCTTTTCAAGTCAAACAAATTGTTTCCAAGTTTAACACAGCTTGGTAACTACTAAAACCCGTTGCTCACTTATTTAAACTACTTTTATCAAAAAAAATAATAAATAAACTCGTACCATTTACAAAAATTTCTATTGCAACCCCCACAATGCTATATTTACTAATCTTCTCCGCAGTGAGCAAGTAAATAATTGCACCCCCATAAAATTTTAAACAAAACAAACCAGACAAACAATGCGGTAGACCATTTCGTACTTACCCTTCGGTCAACGCAGCTGGGGTGAGCAAAGATGATTCAGTGATCAGGTCAGCCCTTAACATTACACAGGGAGTGGAGGAAGTCGTATTTTAAGCGCCTTCAATGCAACAGAATACCTAATAACTGAGCAAGTGTTTTGCCTTGCTCACGATCTGCCCTTGCTTATCGCCGTTTTAGTGAACAATTGCGGTCAGAAATAAACTACCAAATTTTTAATTATGGACCCATATGTGAACCAGTCCCTACCGCCACAACTATTCTAAAATAACATGCTAAGACACCGAACGTGCTTGTTATGTTTTTGTAACAGTGTGATAACTGTAAAACCTGGATTATGATAAAAAATATATTTTTTTGTATAATAAAAGTATCAGTCGTTATTACGTTTTAAAAATTCCATGATTTTCATTGCATCCGTTATAATTAAAGTAACTTAATTAGTAGCTATAATAATTTTATAATAGATGTTGAAACAGGTACCCATTACATTAATGTGCATATTTATTATTTATGCTTGCTGTTTTCCGCATTTAAATACAAAGACTTTTTGCGTTTACTTCTACAAACTTTTACAAATAATATGTAGAATGCAGTGTTATCAATTTATTTTCTTTTTTTGAGATTGAAAGTAAAGTTATTTACCTTTTTAATAAAATATTGATGTACCTATGCATACGTTTAAAAGACAAAAAATATATACAACGTATATGCGGTGCGAGTGTTATTGTTAAAATTTCGGTGGATGCGCCGGAACGGAAAATGTTTCTGTTTAAAAACATCGTTATCGGTCTCAGTAAACTTTCTATAATTCATTTTCAACGTTAACTTTCATTTATTTAACCATATTAATTAAGAGAAATGATTAATTAAAGATTTATTCGTAATATTTTCAATATATTAAACTTTAAGTTTATGTATCACGCCATTACAAAGAAATAGGTTCCCAGAAAAAGAAAAACAGTAAATTCATTTGTTATAGTGAGTTGTTATTATTTTTTCTCACTTTCTCTGCATTTTAACTAGTATTTTTGTTGCATTATATCTGTGACAGTTGATTTGCTTTTTTTTGTGCGTAAAGTGAAAGTAAAAATGGTAAATCCATACCCACACAATATGTATCCTCTATAGACTAATAAATGCTAATTACTTAGAAAAGTACTCAAGTTTGCATGATTTATTACAATTGCTTCAACGACGTCTGAAATGGGACTTCTTAAAAGCACAGTAACCTGTTAAAGTTAAGTAAATAACATTTCACTTTTATTTTATTTCAAGACCAGTCTTTAATGCCTTTCAGACAGATCGTTGATTCAAAACTTCCTATGCAAAAGGTGTAAAAATTTAACATCTATATTAGGTACTGTGTTTGACTGTTTAAATAGGCTTATTAGTTTGTCCTTTATAGTTAGCATAATTAAATATTCCCGCAGTCTTTTCCTACTTCCTGCTAGTCAATTCAATTTTTTTTATAAATAAATAAGTTATAAATTCTTGTGATTGCACCAAAAAAATAATTAAAAGCTATAAAATGTGTTCCACCTTTTGTTTACTTTTTACATTTCTGTTGTAGTATAAATACAATTTTCCGTGCCTGCAATGTGTGTTGTATACTTTTTCTGCTCTCATTTTATACTGTAATAACATTTTATTCGTACATCCCCAAGCCACATGTGCTAGAACAAAGTTGTAGCTCAACATTAAAAGTATAAACTGTAGCATCCAAAGTGATAAGATAAAACTTATTTTGGCTTCATTTGGACACAAAAGGAATCCTTTTGAATGCTACGTGCATAATTGATGCGTTTAGTAGTTTGCATAATTCGAAGGAGCATCTTAGGCGTATAGGGTAACTTTCAAAAAAATTTAATAAATATTAATGTGTGGTGATAAAATCTCATATGCCTGTCTTCATAGCGATATGAAAAGTAGGGTAAAACATTTACTCAATGGGGGTATTTTATAAATAGATTTAAACTGCCGTATGATATATGAGGCGTCAAAACAATTAAGTTGAGGTATTATTTTTAGATCTTACGCTCTTATATTTGGGTTGTTATAATGTGAATCATCTAAGAAGCCAAAGGTATATTTTAGATAAGTTTATTCAAGAATTAGGTTGCATATATATTATTATGATATTATTTCTTTACCAAAGGTGAAAGAACCACGTTATTTTGTATCTATTTGCGATATTAATAAGTCTCGATGCAATGGGATATGTCGCTGTTTAAAAACAATGAATAAAGTATAAGATTGTTCCAACGGTCTATGCATTTTTTATTATTTGTAGACCGCAGTTACTAGAATCGTATTACTGAATCATAATCATGCACGTAGAAATTTACATAGATACTTCAGGAAATAGTTAACGTTTGATACATACAAACAATGAAGCGAATATTAGTTTTATAATGACAACAGGAAACAATAAACATATAGGTATACAGAGTGTTCCAGTTGATGCTGACCAAAGCGAGTATATGGTACGCAACTGGGGGTCTAAACAACCACGGAAATTGTTGAAATTATCAGAGCTTCGAAGTTACGCCTATTACATTTCTACTCAGGTACTTGATATGCCCTAGTAAATTCATATCCTGACGACCGGAAGTTAATAGGGCCTGAGCTAACAACTTTCCAATCGGGTTAGCAAGCCCGAAATCCTCGACTCAAAATTTTCTCCCTGTCAAAAAATGTTTTCTTTATCGTTTAAGAATAATATTTTCGGTAAAGAATTTCAAAAACAACGTAATTTTCAGCCGCTACTCTACTGTTCAAAATCAAACTTTTTCATAATAATCTTCGTGTCCTTTTTTCAATTAAAAAAAAAGTGATCCAAATTCTTCATCGTTTAAGAATAATAATAAGAATTTCAAAAACAACGTATATTTTCGGTCGCTACTCTAGTGTTCAAAATCAAACTTTTTCATAATAATCTTCGTGTCCTTTTTTCAATGAAAGAAAAAAGTGATCCAAATTCTTCATCGTTTAAGAATAATAATAAGAATTTCAAAAACAACGTATATTTTCGGTCGCTACTCTAGTGTTCAAAATCAAACTTTTTCATAATAATCTTCGTGTCCTTTTTTCAATGAAAGAAAAAAGTGATCCAAATTCTTCATCGTTTAAGAATAATAATAAGAATTTCAAAAACAACGTATATTTTCGGTCGCTACTCTAGTGTTCAAAATCAAACTTTTTCATAATAATCTTCGTGTCCTTTTTTCAATGAAAGAAAAAAGTGATCCAAATTCTTCATCGTTTAAGAATAATAATAAGAATTTCAAAAACAACGTATATTTTCGGTCGCTACTCTAGTGTTCAAAATCAAACTTTTTCATAATAATCTTCGTGTCCTTTTTTCAATGAAAGAAAAAAGTGATCCAAATTCTTCATCGTTTAAGAATAATAATAAGAATTTCAAAAACAACGTATATTTTCGGTCGCTACTCTAGTGTTCAAAATCAAACTTTTTCATAATAATCTTCGTGTCCTTTTTTCAATGAAAGAAAAAAGTGATCCAAATTCTTCATCGTTTAAGAATAATAATAAGAATTTCAAAAACAACGTATATTTTCGGTCGCTACTCTAGTGTTCAAAATCAAACTTTTTCATAATAATCTTCGTGTCCTTTTTTCAATGAAAGAAAAAAGTGATCCAAATTCTTCATCGTTTAAGAATAATAATAAGAATTTCAAAAACAACGTATATTTTCGGTCGCTTCTCTAGTGTTCAAAATCAAACATTTTCATAATAATCTTCGTGTCCTTTTTTTCAATGAAAGAAAAGAGTGCTCCAAATTTTTTGCATTCTCTAGTAAAAATGTTTTGGCGCCGCATAGTAAAGAAATACGGATTTAGTCGTAAGTTATGTGTCGTATATAAAACAGAAAAAAAGTTGTTAATGAACTCGATATGAAAACACATTTCTCGAACTAAATTTAACTTGACTGTTGCCCAATTTGAACGGATGTGTCTGTCTCCTTTGTTCTTTTCTTATTTTCTCAGTCCGTAGGTAAAACTAGAAGCATTTCCTCATTTAAAAATATCTGCGTATGTAGGTACTTTGTCAATGTTTTTTTTTTATTACATTTATCCTAGAGTTCTTAAAAGATACCGCTTATGTAATTGGCTAATTGATGTATAAATAGCAAAATATTTGCTTTAACTCTCAGTTTCGCTACAAGGTTCTAGAGATTGCAAATATGTGCAAATATGTATTTTTGAACATAAGAATGTCTACAATCCACTCCTATTTACCTTATATATTAAAAGTACATAGATACACACACATATTAACGTATATCTAATATACATTCCTACTAAAATAGATACTTATTCTAAATCTTTAGTAGCCTATTTAAATTAAAAAATATTTTGAGGGCAGTCTATAAAGTTATGTAAGTTAATATCGAATAGTGTTGCTGTATAGAGATATCGCAAATGTAAACATAAAACTCAAAAACTTTTTTGCGTAGTTTTTTATTAATAGAAATTGCGTTTAATTAATTTTTTTATTGGCCCCATCATTTTAATTCTATTTATAGTGTAATGTATTGGTTAACCAAGTACGAAAATCCTTGAAAAATTAGCATTTTTAAATGTTAACTCTATGTTAATGAAAAGGAAGTTCCTTTTTTGTTTTAAGTTACCAAATTATACTTAGGCCCAAGTGCGCTTGCTCCATCTTAAGAAGCAATACTCTAACACTTGTCTCACGAAATACGTATGTTTTAAGTAAAGCTGTACGGCGCTTGAATGTTGAATGAACTTGGAAGATTCAGCACCGTTCCCATAGTAAGGCAATTTGCTTGTATGATTGCAATGTTTGCTACGGTACGTTAACTTGTGTGTGGATGATAAAAGGTTCTGAACGGTTAAAGGCTGTTGATCGGTTATGATTAATTGGAAAATAATGCCGTTGGTGAAAACATTTGGTTTTTGGTGTGTTTAATAAGTTAAAATATAACAATATTATGTGCCAAAGAACTGACTGAATCGAAATCGTACAAATAGGTAATAAAAATATGCATATTTATCATCTATTACAGTAGAATGACAGGTTAGGTTAACTTTGGTCTAATTTCTTATATATTCTTTTATTTTTGTATACTAACCGCCTTTAGTTTAAAATTTATTATCTTATCATTTAAAACGTTTTCCGTTATTATTTGTAACTGTAATTATTGTTAGATAATCCCTGAAATTGGTGCATTGAAGTCAGGATTAGAGGTTACATTTGGTAAAAATTCTCTCTTTTTGAATACGTTTAATAAATTACTAAATATTTAGTACAGCATTTAAATGTAGTTGAAGGATTGTTAAAAAACATTTGACTTTAATATTTTACTAGATTTTGGTTGAAACTGTTAGTATTGTGTATGTTGGATTAAACATTTACAATATTCATAATATTAAACATTGTGAGTATAATGGCTTAAAGTTAGTGCATAATCAGTTAGAAGCTATAGAATTTTGTGGTGACAATTATTTATTAATGTATTGTTCATAATGTTGCTTTGGTGACTTAGGATATGTACAGTGTTTTCGGTTTCATCATTTTTGCATTATAAATTTTACGGTTGATTTCTGTTATTGTTATTTAGTCTGATAAGGAAAATATCGATTTATGGTCATAGATTAATATTTAAACTAATGTTTATTAATACGTTATTTAGTCTTAAAATGGTTGTCCATTTTATTTACTCGTGGTAGAAGTTAACTTCATTCTGGTAGTTTGTTTATAATGAGAAATGCAAAACATATAAGGAGTATTATTCCCACCTATCTGCTAATTTTTGCTTGTGATTAATTTATGAATTTTGTTTTGACCTTTAAATGCAGCTTTAAAGTATTCTATTGTTTAATCTTAGCTACTATGTTAATTAAGGTATTTTTTGTTTTAGTTGGATCATGTTCGAAGTTGTAAGAAGTTGACTCATGAAAGCTACAGATAACAGGAATAAGAATGTCTCTTAGTGCAGGTAATTATGTAATTTAAAAAGCACAAAAAATAATCTGCATTTATAAAAACATTAGAGACTACTTATAATTGATACACACCTTTTGATTATTTAACCCAAGTCATATATTCCTTAGATAATATTAAGTCCTTAAAGTACAGATAATTCAAATCTTTTATTGAAAGTAAAAGGAACTTACAAATGCTTATATTGAAATGCATGTGACAATATTAATCTTTTACGTTTATTAGTAATATAGCAGTGCAAGTGACGCAGCTTAACATAAATTATTTCTGTGTGGTTTGCAAACAAATCGATTAGTATTGATTAGAGCTCTTAAAAAGATTCTGTTAGTTGTACATTGCATTTTTCATTTCAGGTTTTGAAGTGTCAGCTATGAAAGCCAGTTTTTCCATGTCATCTTTGCAAGCCCCTGAAATGGAAAGAGATATCACCCCAAGACTCTGTAATAGTTTGACAAAAAAGAAGCGCAAGGAAATAGAACACTGGAGAAGATCATGGGGAAGTTCAGCCAGTGACCAGAAAGATGACTTCTGGTCAGCTTTACAAGCTAATTATAATTATATTATGGATAATCAACTAATTGACAATTGTCAGGCAAGTAATTTGTATAAAATTATACAAAGATTATGTATTAAGTAATAATAATTTTTTTGGTACAGGAGGCAAACGGCGAGCTAAATTTGGATAAAACCTGGTCTTTAATAGAATTTTATACTAAGTTCTCAGAACTCTATTCCTGGCTTAATAGTGTTCAAGAGGCTATATTTAGTAAAGAACTCAGTGAAATTGATAAAGAATTGAAAGCTGTAAGTAATTAAAAATAAAATATTTATTAGAATTATTCATTCATATTTTTCATGTCTTTTGCAGCACTACAGTGATGAGGTAGTGCAGAAAAATTCACTTCGAAATCTTTTCAATGAACAAGCTAGTCAGTTAGTGCAATTGCATCCAGATGTAAAAGAGGAGGTAACACGTCGAGTTATGCATATTAACTCTAAATGGGACTCACTCCAGGCTGCTCTTGGTCTTACAAATTCTAAAGGCATCGATCAGTCTTTTACAGGTATAATACAAATTTGCTTTTACATTCTTAAAAACGTATTTCTAATTTAAAAGGTAGCAGTTGTAACAAGTTCTCATGACTTATTTAACAATTAAGTGTAAATTTGACCATATTATTTATATTAAATTAATACTTAAAACAAGAAACTATAAACTACGAATAATAATTTTTT